AAACAAAGAAATGCTGGGCCCACCTCCTAGAGGCTCTGCTCTAATTGCTCTGATGTGGGGCCCAGGCATTGTTGGGGTTTTTTGTTTTTAATGTTTATTTTTTAAAAATATGAAGAACACATTTGTCGAATCAGCATTTTTGTGCCTATTGTTTTCGTTATTGTTGTTGTGTGCCAGAGTCAATGCGGACTCATAGTGCCCCATGTACAGAGTAGAGCTGCCCCACAGGGTATTCTAGGCTGTAATCTTTGTAGAAGCAGTTCACCAGGCCTCTCTTTTGTGGAGCTGCTGGGGCGGTTCAAACTGCGAGTCTTTCAGTTAGCCCCGTGCTTAACTGTTTGCTCTATTCATGCTCCTTTTGCACATACTCAGTTCAATATAAAACCAATTATGTCCATCTTTATTTTTAAAAAGCACCTGAGAGGATTCCAGGCTCAGCTGGAGTTAGAAACCAGTATTTTAAGTATGTCAAGTAATACCTAGCAGATCATTTGAATCTCTTGTGGAACTTTTTAAACACACAGATAATTGCTCTGCTTAATGAAATGGAAAGAATTTTGAGATTCTAGGAGGAGGAGAAACAGAGGAGTGGCAAGTGGTGTCATAGTACTAGGTGTAATTGAGCAATTCCTGATGTTGGGGATAACCAAAGGACTTCTGAAAATAAAGATGTCTAATATTTTATGTTGTTTCTTCTCCTGTGCTTCACTGTGAACCCATTCAATTGTCCCAAAATCTTCAAAGAAGGCCACTATACACATGGGTCACAGAATGAGTGTCTTCTGGCCAGATGCCTCCATGGAAATTCTACTTCAGTAGGTTCAGAATGAAGCCCAGAGTCCAGTACCTAAAAAACTTCCCCAAAATGAATAGATAAATAAATAAAAACCTCCCCAGACTATCGTGGTGATGGGCCAAGTTTGGTAACCATTGCCTTGTAGATAATACAACATCCCTAGACAGTGGTCAGAGCTCTAGTAGTACAGTGCCTAAGGCATCTGACTGCTAACAAGAAAGTTGGTTGTTCAAACCCACCAGCCACTCCATGGAAGCAAGAGTAGGGAATCTACTTCCATAAAGATTTACCCCTCAAAAACCCAGTGGGGTCACTATGAGTCAGAATTGACTCGATGGCAGTGGGTTTAGTTTTTTTCTTGGTTTTAGACAGTGGTGATTACAGTTCATCCCATTAACAACTGGATGAATTGGATGGGTAGCAGCAAAATCAATGGTAAAACTTAGTTTTTGCAACGGGGAAAAAAAAAAAGCCTGATTTTTATTAGACCCACCCTGGATCTATCTAACCTGCTTTTTCTCTTTGAGTGGCTATATAAAGAAGAATTTACCTTTCTGAAATAGGGAGGAAGAAGATGAATGAAGGGGTATCAAGGGAAAAAAAATTTTAAAAAGCAGAGTTCCTCTCCTGTAACATAAAATATCAGAGGGGAAGCATGGAATATATTAATATATTTCTTAACACTCATTATATATATAAATCCAAGAATTTAATTCACCCATCAATTACTGAGCATCTGGTAAGCGACAAGAACTGAGCTTAATCTTGGAAGTTCAGGATAGGGTATTGTACCACAGAACTTACAGTCTAGAAGAAGAGACAAATAAATACCAAATGGTGAGAGAAGAATGGAACAGTGTGTGAAGTAGCAAACATAGACCCTCCGCTCAATGGGAGATTAGAGATTGAGGGGAAGTTCAGAGAAGAACAAACCAGGCTTTCACAGATTCAGTGATTAGGGTACAGGACAACAAGGGGAAAGAAATGGCATTTCTTATCAGAGTAAATGTTCAGAGTCACACAGGCTTAAAATAACATGTCATGCTGTTGTTAATTGTTACTTGTTGCTGTTGTCAAGTGAATTCTAACTCTTGGTGACCCCAATATTGCAGAGTAGAACTGCTCCATAGAGTTTTCAAGGCCATTACTTTTCAGAAGCGGATCTCCAGACCTGTCTTCTGAGACATGCTGTGGTGAGTTCAAACCACCAACCTTTTGGCTAGTAGTCAAGCACTTAATCATGTGCCCCATTGAGGGACTCCTCAAACAGCATATGCTGCCTGAGTTCCAGGTGGTTCTATAATGGTATAACATAAATATTTTGAAGTTGTTGAGGTGGATCAAGGAGCTGCAGTGGCACAGTGGTTAAGCACTCGGCTGCTAACCAAAAGGTGGGCAGTTGGAACCCACCAGCAGCTCCATGGGAGAAAGATGTGGCAGTCTGCTTCCATAAAGTTTACAGCCTTGGAAACTCTATGGGACAGTTCTATTCTGTCCTATATGGTCATTATGAGTTAGAATCAACTCCACAACAACAGATTTGCTTTAGTTTGGTTTGGTTTAGGGGATAGGTGGAAGCCTGTGTAGATGTATCCACTCAGACATATCAGGTGAGTTCCAATATTGGACATAAAAGTTTTGTTGGATTCTGCTGCAAAATCTTTCTAGGCAAACATGGATATACAGGTGGATAGATGGGCGGACAAGCTAAATTATTAGGTATGTCTATACAGGGGGGAGTATGCCCAAGACAATGTAGGGTTGGCAGACAATGTTTCTACAAGTGTATTGGTATGTTGTGTAATAATTCCCAGGTATATAGTAGAGGTTCTAGTCACTTCTTGGTTCTAGTCACCTCTTGGCCACAGCCAGCTACCCAGAGGGATCTGTGAGCTTGGGACCATGGTCACAGGGGACATCAAGCTCAATTGGAATAACATACTACACAAAAACATTGTTCCACATCCTACTTCAGTGAGTAACGACTGGGATCTTAAAAGCTTCCATATGTCCATCTAGATACAATGATGGGTCTCTCCTCATCCAGAACAAAGAAGAATGAAGAAGACCAATGATGCATGGAAAAAAATAGTCCAAGTGACTGGTATACCATGCGATCCTCAGCCTATATGACCATGAGACCAGAAGAACTAGATGGTGCCCAGCTACCACTGTAGTCACTCAGAGAGGGGTCTGTGTAGGAGATCCTGGATAGAGTGGGAGAACAATGTGGAACAAAACTCAAAATCATTAAAAAAAAAAAAGGGATCAGGTTTGATAGAGCCTGTTGAAACCCCTGAGACTATGGCCCCTAGCCACCCTTCAGGTCTGGAATTGAATCCACTCCTGTGGCTTCCAGCCAAACAAAAGACAAGCATATGAGGTGAACATTTACACTAGGTAGATACACTCCTTGGAGAGAACAATCATGGGAGAATAGAAGGGGTGTATATGCACAGGGAGACAGCTCAGGGGGCAGGAGTGCATGGAGGGAAGGACACAGAGAAGAGGTAACTATGGGGAGGAAGTGGGAAGGGAGCTATTGCATTGTGGGAAGTTGTAGTCAATGTCATGAGACAAAGTGTATGTGAACTGCTGGATGGAAAATGAATTTGCTCTGTAAACTTTCACCCAAATCACAATTTAAAAAATACAAACACAGTATGATACAAAAAAAAAGAAAACTTCTTTCTCCAAATTTAACTTTCCATATCATCCTTTCATCCTTGTTGATACATGGTTGCATTTGCTGCAGTTACATATCTATTCAATTTATTTTTTATTGCATATAAGTAGACATTTGGGGTTTTTTCCAATTTTTCACTATTATAAAACTGCATTGAATGCTCTTGTATGTATCTCCATGTGCGTAAACATGTTGGGTTGTTACTGTATTGTTATGCAAATAATGCGTGCATTATGTATGTATTTTTTTCCAACTGTGCCTTCCCTCCTCTTTCTCCTTAGCACCCTATGCTGATTATTTACAGCAACATGAAAAAGATTAACTTAGAATGCTTATGAAAATACCATGTGAGGAGAGCATCTTTAGGGGAAGGGCATGGTTGGCAAAAAAACGTACAACGGGTGAGTTATTTGCATAAAAAAGTGGTATTCCTTAATCATTTCTTTTACTCATATAAGCATTCTCTATGTAGCAAAGAAAAGAAAATCAACCATTCTAATACTCCTACACATGATAACCAACTTTAAAACAATATTATAATATTGCAATGATATTTTTAACCTCTGTTCTCTCACGTAAATCACCAGGGATATCCTTGGTGGACCCATACAAACCTTAGCTCTAAACCATAGAATTATTTTAAGGTTGAATAAAAAACTAGAAAAGGGGTAATTTAGTTTTTTTTAAAAGAAGTCTGTTGTTGTTGTTGTGTATCATCAAGTCGATTCTGACTCATAACAGCCCTATAGGAGAGAATAGAACTGCCCTGTAGGTTTTCTAAGCTGTAATCTTTATGGGAGCACGTCACAAGGTCTTCTGGTGGCTTCCAACCACCAACGTTTCCATTAGCAGCTCAGCACTTAACTGTTAACCCCACCAAGGCTACTTAGGGTTGGTTTAAGGGTCTTCTTCTTTCCTCATTCCACTCATCTTCCCCTTTTTCTGTCTCCTTATCAGAAAGCTGCTTGGAATCTGCCTGATTCCCATTTCCCCTTATGTAGACTAAGAGCCAACTAACTACAGTATGTAGCTGCTAATTTAATATGAATTTTTGTTAAAAGTATACAAATTATTCACTTATTGCCCTGGAAGGGAGTAAGTAACATTTATGTTTTTTATTGACTTTTATTTTATCTCATTTATTAGAGCTACTGTATACAAGGAGCTCTGATAGCATAGTGCCAAGGACCTCTGGTAGCATAATGCCTAAGCACTTGACTGCTAACCAGAAGGCTGCTGATTCAAACCCATCAGCCACTCCTCAGAAGGAAGATGAGGCAATCTACTTCTATAGTGATATTGCCTCAGAAACCCATGGAGGGATTGCTATGAGTCGGGTCCGACTTGATGGCACATAACAACAACAACAACATAAACAAGGCACTATGTTAGATGCTCTGGGGTATCCAAAGGTGAAAAAGTCTTCACAAGAACATTGTATAACACAAGGAAGAGATGCTTAGGAGCAATAATCATTAGGACTCAGCAACTGAAATGGAATTTTTATTTTCTCCTTTAGTGTCACTCAGGAAATGCTTGTCTCCGGTTGTTGATGAATAATTTCAGAGTACTATGGATCATGCTGAAGAAAATGAAATCCTTGCAGCAACCCAGAAGTACTATGTGGAAAGGCCTATTTTTAGTCATCCAGTCCTCCAGGAAAGGCTACACAAGAAGGACAAGATTTCGGATTCCATTGGGGATAAGCTGAAACAGGCATTCACGTATGTTGAAGTTTAGCCTATTTCCTTTATTCTATCATCAAGTTATAGAATAAGCAAATCTGTCGGTGAAGTGAGTAAAATAATGAATGGTGGGCACTCATGATTTACAGAATTGCCCCCAATGGTGCAGTTGGTGTTAGATGTTTGAATGAACACAGGCTTTATGAGGTTGTTGTTGTTGGTAGGTGCCATCGAGTCAGCTCTGACTCACAGCGATCCTGTGTACAACAGAATGAAACACTGCCAGGTCTGGTGCCAGCTTCACAGTCTTGCTATACCTGAGCCCATCAGTGCAGCCACTGTGTCAGTCCATCTCTTTGAGAGTCTTACTCTTTCTTGCTGACCCTCCATTTTACCAAGCATGTTATCTTTCTGACAACATGACCAAAGTAGGTGAGACAAAGTCTGGCCATTCTTGGTTCCAATGAGGATTCCAGCTGCACTTCTTCCAGGACAGATTGGTTAGTTCTTCTGACAGGCCATGGTACCTTCAGTATACTTCACAAACACCAACTCAAAAGCATCAGTTCTTCTTTGGTCTTCCTTATTCATTGTCCAGCTGTTACATCCATATGAGGCTATCAAAAATACCATGGCTTGGGTTAGGTGCACCTTACTCTTCAAAGAAACATCTTGCTCTTCAGCACTTGAGAGAGGTCCTTTGCAGCAGATTTTCCCAATGCAACCCATTGTCTGATTTCTTGACTGCTGCTTCCATGGGAGTATATCACCTTATTTCTTGAATCCTGTCTTGGTTATCTAGTGCTGCTGGAACAAAAATACCAGAAATGGATAGCTTTAACAAACAGAAATTTTATTCTGTCACAGTGAAAGAGGCTAGAAGTCTGAATTTAGCATACCAGCTCTGGGAGAAGGGTTTCTTTCTCTCTTATATTGGCTCTGGGAGAAGGTCCTTGTCTCAGTCTTCCCTGGGTCTAGGAGATTCTCAGCACAGGGACCCAGGGTCCAAAGGATTTGCCCGGCTCATAGCTTTTCTTCCTTGGCAGTACTAAGGACATTCTTTCTCTGCTAGCTTCTCTCCTGTTATCTCATGTAAGATGAAAGGTGAAGCAAGCCACACCCCAAGGAAACTACCCTTACTTAAGACCAGAGCTGTGACCTAAGAAAGGGTGTTACATCCACCCTAATCTCCTTACAAATGATTGGCTAATCACATCAGATCATATCTAAGAGGTGATTATATCCACATCAGATCCTATCATGGAAGAGTGATTGCATCATATAACTGCCAAATTGCATCATTATGTAACTGCCAAACTCTATCATTACATAACTACCAAAACACTAAGAATCATGGCCCAGTCAAGCTGACACATATTTGGGGGGACACAATTCAATTCATGATAAACCCCTATTATGACTTACTTCTGTATAAGGGGTTATGTAAAAAACCTACTTCTCCACCCACCTTGAAAATAGCCACCTCTTCTCTGGAATGTCCAGGAATGTTCCAGCCATTCTGTCTTTTTGTCCACCTCAGATGTCTACCCCATTGAGCATCACCATGAATCTGAATCCCCAACTTAAGGTGTCAAGGACCCTCAGCATCTTGTGACTCTGTGTTTTGGAGAACACTTTGCACAGCCATGTTGCAGGCCTGGGGATGTAGTACATGTGGATCTGATGTAATCCTGTTGCTCGTTCCCAAACTTCAATACTGAATGCTGCCTCCTGGACTCTTGAGACAATACCGTTCATGCTCTGTGCTCATTTAATCTTCACAGTGACTCTATCCTCCAGATATTATCATTAGGAGAGGTGAAAAATATAGATACTATTGCCAGATTGTTTTAATTTTAATCTTTGTCTCACACTTGACCAGCTGTGTACTTCTGTTTTCTGCTCTATAAAACAGGGCTAATTGTAGTACCCACCTCATAGGCTACTAGGGTGTTAAGTATGTTAGTATTTGTAAAATGCAAGGTACAGGCATAAGCACAGGGGTGCTTCAGCTTCCTCAAGGTCAGTAGGATATATTTATTTCTCTTAAAATAGCTATATAAGTGATAGCTATTTTTAATATCGACAGCACATAACAACAACAACAATTTTTAATATCAGTGTTCTAAACAAGGAGACTTTTATCAAATCTAGTTTATTTGGTCCAAATCCACTGTTATTGCCACAGATGCCTTTCTTTATCCAATTATCAGATACTCTTAAGCTCTAAAGACACTATATAAAGTACCATGTATGTTGCAATAATGCATTATCTTTTATATGGACTAAAGTCATATATGTCATGTCAGCAGGAGGACTGAGGCTATCAAAGTAGTGGTGGAGGTGTGCTCATTTGTCCATATTCTTACTCAGTGATGTCCTTGATTATCAGCATAGACTAGCAAAAGGAGTGGCTGAGGCCCAGATAATAGTCTGTATATCAAAGTTAATTGGACTATATGAGGATTTAATGCAAGACCTTGGTTTTAACAGCGTGGAGTTCTCCCTAACCAAGACAACCAGCCCTGGACTTGGTCCGCTGCTATAATCCAGTAACAAATGGTGTTTTGAGTTTGCCTGTTCAAAGACTAAAAGCATCAAAAACATGTTAATAAAACTCAGTAATATTTATATAAGTACCTTTCATCCTGTAAATAAGGAGAAAACTAAACAGACAGAAACTGGTCAGTGGTTCCATATTAAAAAATTAACTCCACTGGTAAATAATTCCCCTACTTCACTTTTCTGCCAACATTAAAAAAAAAAAATACACTAAGAATTTCACTAAAATAAGCTTCTGAAATATCTCAAAGACTTCAAAGTTAATTTTTTCTTATTTGTCAGTTGTGGAGCATTACCATGGAGCCAATTTAGATGATGTTGCCATTAAAAGAAAAAAAAAAAGCAAGAGCCAGCTCTTCTTGCCCCTGATTTCTGTAGAGTGGAAAGTCCATGATCAGTGTCACTGTGATCTTATCACTCCAGAATGTGAAGAAGGGGGAATACTTGGCTGTGAATTCCACAGAGATGTTCCTCACTTACACTTTGATCTCTTTCCTTGTCCTCCCAGATGTACTCCTAAGAAGATAAGAAATATCATTTACATGTTCCTACCCATAACTAAGTGGTTGCCTGCATATAAATTCAAGGAGTATGTGTTGGGTGACTTGGTCTCAGGTATAAGCACAGGGGTGCTTCAGCTTCCTCAAGGTCAGTAGCATGTATTTATTTCTCTTTTTTTCTCGCTGTCATGTCCTCAAACAATTTTCTTGGCTTTTTCTGTTTATTTTGTTACAAATTCATAGTTTTTATTTCTTATAAAATAGTTTTTGCATAGCATTGTAGTAACATTTAACTGTCTAAAGCAATTCTTCTGAAACATTTAACCCTTACCCTTAAAAGACCCCAGGAATATTAGTAATAATATATATAACGATGCTATACTACATGTGTAGCTATTAGCTGGAATTGCCTTACTTCTTGCTAAGCCAATCAGTCCCTCGATCAACATTTTGTTATGGTAGTTGTTAGGTTCTCAGCTTCTAAGACCATGTCCTAAATACAAGGGACCATGATATACTGACAGTTCTGGCAGCGTAGTGCCTAAGGCATTTGACTGCTAACCAGAAGGCTGGTGGTTCAAACCCCCCAGCCACTCCTTGGAAGGAAGGTTGGGCAATCTACTTTCAAGTGATAGCACCCTGGAAACTCAAGGAGGGGTTGCTATGGATTGGATTCAACTCAATGGCAGGGAGTTTTCTTGAGTGATATACTGAATTCCTCTGCAGCTCTGTGATATTACATGTAACATAACAATTTAAGAGAATATTCATTAATTTACTCAGGGGCAACTCCACAGGGCCTTGTTAGGCCATTTTGTGATTTCATTCTGACTGCAATGAAGAGCTATCTGAGGACCTTAAGTAGGAAGTGAGTTTACGTTTAAGCTGTCTCTCAGGCCACAGTGTGGCAAATAGGGTTTGGTTAGTGGGAGGTTACTAGAATGAATTCCCCTACATGGAGACAGTGGCTCAGTGTAGGCAAAGGTAATAGCTTGGGTAACTCTAGTTTTGCTGGCCAAAATTCTTATTTATTCCCAGAAATGAATCCCCAAATTATCAGTATGTCAAAAATCTATTTCCCTGGTAATCAGCTGGGTGAGTTTTTAATTTTCCAGTTGACT